GAAGGGTTGTTGAAGGAGTTGGGGGGAGATTTGTAAAGAAAATGAAGAGTTGGAACCCTTGCAAACAACAAATCAATATCAAGACATTTTACATCGATTTAATTCTTAATTGATGTAAAATGTCTTTTTTTTTTTTTACATTATTAAAATTTTAACTGATCTAAAATATTCTTTCCACATCTGTTAAAAAAAATCAAAGTAAAAAAAAAAAAAAAAATCTTAAACACTTCAAGAAATTCACTAAATATAATAGAGAAATCTGTGTGCGCTCCTGCCTTACACTATTGTGTTGGATCTTGTGTGTGTTCGTTATGTAACAAAGCCACGAGTTGGATCATATGTGAGTTCTTGCCCCACACATTGGTTTTTTGTATAATATTTATCGAAAGTCCGTGCTATATAGAACACTTATTGGAGCAACAAAAAGATGGTTGTGAGTTATTTAAGAGTAAAAGGTTGTATGGAGAAGTGGAATATGTGGAGGATAGTTCCTTATATTATGCTAGCTAGTATCAAGTAGTAGGAGTAACAAATGTAGATGACTATGATGGGATACACCTATACTAAAACATCTGACACTGGCTTTGAGTCTCGTTACATCCATTTAGCACTACAACAAAATTTGTTATTAACGACAATCATTTAATGGTAATAATTTAATTGCCGTCATATATAAAAATATTAATGACTAATATATAATAGTCACTAAAAATATATTTATATTATCCTAAAATTTATTATTAGTGACAATTATTTATTAGAAAAAACTTAAGTCTCATATTCATTAGAGATAAGATAATTAAATAATATATAAATAAGTAATAATTATCACTTTACAGGTTCATTTTATAGGGTTGACTCCTAATTCACTATTCTAAATTGGTATAAATCACTCATTATTACCAAATTCAATAGTGTTATAAAATAATTAGAGAGCAACTTTCACCTTATAAATCTCACATTTCTTAAGAGACAAGACAATTAAAAAATATATAAATAAAAGATAACTCTCATCTTACAAATCCCACATCGAGTAGAAAAAAAATATATATAAGTTATGAATTTAGAAAAGGAAATTATATGAATAAATTATTTAAAGTAAAGGAGACAATTGAAAAAAATAACTTTTAATAGCCTTTAAAATGGCTACTAGAATTGCCACTAAAAAAATAAGTTTTTTCGACAATTTAGTAGATCTTTACTAGCATTTTATATAAATATCGGTAATAGTATTAACGACACTAGATACAGCAGCTTTTATTTAAATGTTGGTATAAAAAATAATGGTTATTTATATGGCTGCTAAATGATAAATTAATTGCAACAAAAAATTAATTTTGGTGTAGTATAGATTTCATGTGTTGATTCTTGTAGAACTTGAAATTTGGTGATTTTAGCATATTATGTTATCCATATTACAAAATTCAAATGGGCACATGAAGAAATGATGGATCCTTTAATATTAGTGATTCATTATTTAAAGTTCGCATTAGTGGTTAACTTTTAGTTGTTAAAGTAATTATTGCACCAGCCTTTAAAATCAATCACTATAAATAGATTTATATATATTGATTGCTAAATCGATCGTTATAAAATTGGTCATCAATGTAGTCCTTATAGAATGAATATCTTTTTTTTTACTGGTAAAGGAAGATAATCATTAACCAAAATAAACCAGAAATTTATAAACGAAAAAACTGCACCCTTTTAACATCAACTAATAGATGTTTTAAATCACTAGGTGGATAACCCATTTCTAAAAATGCAGTAGTTCAAACCTAATTTAACAAGAAAGTCAACACAAGCATTTCTCACTCTTAAAGTATACATTAATTTAACACTCCAATTTATTGACAAAATTTATTAGACACTATATTGGTTGTTATAAAATGGGTGATTAAATATAAAATAGGTCTCTAAACCGGTTGTTATAACATGGGTCACTATAATTGATCATTAAATCTCTTAATCGGTCTTTAAATGGATCAAACAGAAGTTTAGTTATTTATTAAAAATAGTACTTAAATCAGTCGCTAATGGCTTGGTCACTGATTTTTTCAAATTAGAGACAAGATTTTTGGTCTCTAAAGTAAAATTTCAAAGATGTAGAAAGGGAAACGTGGTATAACCTTTCTTCAATGGTGTTAATCCTAAATAATGCTATCCTTTTTTGTATGTGTACAGTGACATTAATAAAGTTTAAACAAAAAATCTTATACAAATTATCTAAACTTTTCTTCAATAAACTGAGTTTAGTATATCATCCAATCAAATCTCAATATTTGCATAACACTACGTACTAATAAAATATATAAATAATATCTTAATAACATATGAACCAAATATTTCAAATTTGAATTATATATATAATATTAATTCTTAATCAAATATGAATAAATCCTAATAGAATTTGAAAAGAAAAAAATCTAATTGAATTTGTAAAACTAAATGCATATAAATTAAAATATAATTTACAAAGTCTAATTAAATATATGAAAATTTGAAGACAGAGTTAACGAACCATTCATTGAAAGCTGTACTGCATGAAAAGTTATCCATATGATAGGTTAAACAGTTGCTAATTAAATATGATTTGTGAAATGTCGTAAATTAGAGGATCGAAACAAGACGTGAACTTTAACAGTTGAGCTGAATAGTATTACATGGTTGCTCAATTGTCTGTGCTAGCTGTTGATGATATATCTTAAAAGAAGACGCATTGAAAGCATTTCATGGCAAATGTATGGCCGAAACAATCAATCACATTGAATGCTTTGGAATCCTGGGGAACAAGGAAGCAACGAGGGTGTGGGAGTGGGGACTCTCTCTTCAGCTAACAAAAAAATTCAAATTTAATTGGGCCTTCATTAATTCCCTACCTCCTTTAACATCAAAAAGCCTCCAATCTTATCACCCACGTGTGGCTCAAGGATATCACCATCAAAATTAAATACATCGCTCGTGTATGTGTACGTGCTTTCATAAAATGCCACATCGCCACCACCACCACTTATGCTTCCAAATTCAACAATATTACATTACTTTAATCACCTTCTTTTCCAATCCTATTCCTCTACGTGCCTAGATATTTAGTATTTTTCCTTCCGATCCCAGTTAAGAAAAAGGAGTGTAACAAAACAAAATTTTCTAAATTTGGTTTGGAGTTAAATTCCACACGATGGTACTATTTTTTATCGATTAATACTATATTGGAGAAAACGCTAGTGTTGATTAACTTTTACATAGTGGATGATAGAGATCGGTAGTGAAAGCTGACAAACGATGAAACCAACACATATATTTTGCTTAGCTTAGATCCCTCTTTGCGTCCGAAGAGAAGTTTGTTGGGACAAGAAAAGGATACCCCTGTGTTTTTATTATCAAAAATGAAGCTGCATGTAACGTGAAGCTTTTGTATATCCCCGTTGGCCAATCCTTGCACCTTTTTTGCTACATACCTAACATGACATCTATCAATGCATGCAAGTGAGTTGGTTTTGTTTTGGAGACTCCCCTATTGTGCTTTGTTTCTTGCGTGGTCCAAACAGTAATTATAACTAGCTTTGTGCTTATGTACGTTGTGGGTATAGTGTTTTGGTTTAGTTGCACAAATTAATGTCAGGAAAAGGGAATTGATATGATGAACCCGAATATCCTCACTGTTGTTAGTTGGCGCTTGGTACATCTATATGTCATTGAACTAGCAAAGCCTCAATTGGTCATCTAAGAAGATTTTTCACGCGTTTGAATTTCTTGGAATGAAGCAGTCTTTTGCAACCCTAATTATATAAATAATAGATAAATTCAAGTAGTTATGCTATAAATTGAAATCTAAAAATATTTAAATGTAGAGTAGATATACTACACACAACACGTTTATAATTTCATAAAGAAGTAACATATAATCATATGTATAGTTATATATCGGGGTGAATGACCGTCTAATGGTCAATAATCAAAGTGATAATCCTTTTACCATTACATTTTTCCGACTTTATAAATTAGTCGATTTACTTAATTTGTATAATTGATAATAGTGCATCATATATTGTTTTACTAAACACTGTTGTGTTCTTTTATTTTTTTATTTGGAACTATTGTTTTAGCTTGGATATAGCATTTGATATCCATAAATATAGAGAATACAATTTTTGTGAGTATGAAAGCTATAGTCCAACTGTCATTGATTTCAGTTGGCGTTGCTGCACAAATATGAAGTTCTTGGTCAACTATCTTCTCAATTGGGTTTATACTGTGCGTACGTACGTGATGATTTGATAAAGATGTGTTGAATTAAAAGCAAAAGCCTATGTTTGCATTGAATTTGAATAAGTAAAATAGAGATATGATTTTGATTAGGATTAGTTAGCAGCATATATATGAAATAATTCGACAGGAATGTTAAAAAAGAAAGAGTTGAGCACAGCACATGCAAATCCCAGATGTGGGCAACATCCACATGGCCATGCCCATCCAATGAAGGACACCCAGGAGGGCCCCACGCCCCTGTCACATGCATTTGTTCCCAAACAGATCCAACGCTCCCAAAAGGCCACACCATCTGAACCGTCGGTTGGTGGTCCACGCCTGTCACCATCATTGGCTGTGTTTGTCCCCTCTCACTTTGACAACCTGCTTTTCCCTGTCCTTCAAGTGACAGACAGTCACATCTGTCTTCTGCTCCCACCGTGTGGACTGGGCCCACGCCGTTGCCTTGTCAACATGTGATTGGTGGGTGAGGAAGCGCGTGTCACAGCCTACGCCTTGGTCGGTTATCTTATCTTCCCCTCCCTTCTCGGTGTGCGCAATTCATGCACCATGACAATAAGTCACCCACATTTATCGTCCCTCACTAATACGTTCCTATAAAATTCATCAGCTCTACCACCTACTAACTCATGCACCACATCACATCTTTTCCATTCTTCAATCAATCTCTTTACCTACACCTATACCATTTATATATCTCTCTCTCTCCTTCTTACAAATTCAACACCTGATTGAACGTTGAACCTGAATTTATACAGATCATCAAGAAATTGACAATTAATTCAATGGGGAGCTATGAAAGTGAGCTCAATCTTAAGGCCACAGAGTTGAGGTTGGGATTGCCAGGGAGTGATGAGCCTGAGAAACGTTCATGCAGTGTTAGAAGCAACAAGAGATCTTCACGAGAATCCAGTGTGGAAGAGTCCAGGTGCAAAAGCAACGTTAACTCTGATGATTCCACAACCACAAGTGATCATGACCAAGAAAGTGTCCAACCTGCAAAGTAAGCTACATAATTTTATTTTATTTTTTGTATTTGCAAAAAATGATATAATGAATGGAAATTAATGATAATATCAACGGGTGCATGCAGGGTACAAGTAGTGGGGTGGCCACCGATTAGATCTTATAGGAAAAATAGTCTGCAGCAGAAGAAGGTGGAGGGTGATGGAAGTGGAATCTACGTGAAAGTGAGCATGGCTGGTGCACCTTACTTGAGGAAGATAGATCTCAAGGTTTACAAGAGCTACCCAGAACTCCTCATGGCATTGCAAACTTTGTTCAAGTGCACATTTGGTAAGAACCACCAACAAAAAAAGGCAAACTTTTTTAAAAAATTCACATCTTGCCAAAAAAAGATATTAGAAATTCATGTCAATGAAAACTTGAGCTAATGAACAACATGGTTAATTTTGAATCATCCAGGTGAATATTCAGAAAGGGAAGGCTACAATGGATCTGAATACGCTCCTACTTATGAAGACAAAGATGGTGACTGGATGCTGGTTGGGGATGTTCCATGGAAGTAAGTTCTTTCTCTAACCCTCATCTCTTTTGTTTTATTATAAGCTTTATGCAGTGAATATATTTTGTTGTATATTCTGCATCTCATGGATCTGTTTTTTGCTTATATTAATTGCAGCATGTTTGTATCCTCCTGCAAGAGGCTGAGAATAATCAAAGGATCAGAAGCAAAGGGATTGGGCTGTTTATGACCGACAAGATTCACAAAAGCAAAAGGAGAACTGCATATCCAAAGGCATGAAATTAGAAAAAGAAAAACACTCTTTGTGTTGTGCAAGCAATTATCAGAACTCATATATAGTTTATCAGAAAATAGACGGATATTAATATATATACAAATTATTTTTTGTTGTAGTAATTTCAACTGAGGCGGCTTTGAGGTCTGCTTCCTTAATTATATGTAGTCTTCTGCAAAATCCTACCGGAATGGAACAAATATATATAAAGAGAAAGAAAATATAAGACTGTTTCAATTGTACAGATCAAGAATATAATAATAATCTCATTTTTTCTTAGCCATATCTTTTTATGGGGCGAAGTTCTTTCGGTAAAGCTATAATATCTTTCTGTGTTATTTTCATGTCGTAACTTAAGGCAATTTGATTTTGATCATGTCTCGAAAATTTGATGCTAACTACGAGAATTTGGAATAATCATGGAGGATGATAGAATTAAATATATATGACACGAAAAAGAAAAAGGTACACTTTAAAAACAGGCGTCAAATCTCCCATAAGAGTATTGAGAATTCCACCACCATAGTGAGTGGATGAGCACTAACATGGAGAGAGATATCAAGTCAAACGACGATAATTCTTTGTCCCATTAATCAGTTGACGGCATATTGATAAGCTTGGTTAACGACATCACATAGACAGCTAGTGCCACCTTAATAATTTCAACCAAAGACAGGCAGATTTCAAAATCTTAAACTTCTGCTACAATTTTGGATTTTCGTTGAATGGTTGAATCATATTTTCAGAAACTTGGTTCCATATATATTTTTTATGAAACTTTGGATGAATAGAAAAGCAAGATGCTCTATTGTGCTACATCCATATACATAATTGGTTCTGTTACGCAACTGATTCTGGTTAGACTAGGCCATACCACCCCATATTAGTTATTTCTCTTTATTTCTATTATTATATGCTTATCACATTAATTTATAATAACTTTTCTCTCTTGTAATTCTTTTTCTCTCTGCGTAAAGGCATCCCAATAGATGTCTACAATTTTTTTCTTAGATTTTATTTAATAATTAAACTCTTATATAAGTAATAATAATTAAGGGAGAACTTATTTAGCTTCTTCATAAACTAAAATCTTCTTACATTTCAGATTTAGGAGAAGTTGAATAAAATTAAAGAATTTCTGTAGAAGGTAATGTTTAAAAGTTATTTCTTTTTCAACAATAATACATACTATATAAATTTTATTTGAAAAAACTCTTATATAAGTAACTACGAGAGAAGAAAAATAAAATAAAATAAACTTTTCCATGAACTACAATCATGTCATCCATGCACTTTAGATTTAGAAGAAGTTGAATGAAATAAAGAGCTTCTATAAAAATTAATGCGTAAAAGTTTTTTTTTCCAACAATAGTACATACTATATAAAAAGTTTTACTAGTGTGATATGTATGGTGGGTATGGAAATGCAGAAGTATATGCATGGTTGTGTCGGTTGGTTAAACTCTACAACTTGGCTCTTTGGATTCAGATTTCTGTATTCGTGGTTGTCTTCTACCGTAGAGTCTCACTTTTAAGTTCAATTGTTACACAATTACTGATCTCACAGTACAGGCAACCATTGAGAGACAATAGTGTACCAAGAGTCCAACCATTGTTTAGTCGACATTTTCCGCCTAAATATTGACCTAGCTATCTGTATCTATTTCGAACTTTTACGTCATGTGTTTATATATAAACGTTTAGATGTCTCTTCCTAAATAAAAAATATAATAGTTAGATAAAGAGATTCAATTAAAAGTCACCCATCATTAATTTTTTTTTTTTTTTTTTTTTTTTTTTTGTAGAGATTAATTATCTACAAAATTTAATGAATATTTTGCATATTTAACATGATAAAAAAAATATATATATGTATGTTTAATTTGAGTTATGCGCGCTACCCAACTTTGGTTGGAATCCAGCTAACGCTGCGTTGATGTGAATAGGGACTAGGGAGGAGGAATAAATATATAAAAAAAAACTTGAGTCGGTAATAATAATTGAGCTCTAACTTCTTTAATACTATATCAATAAAATTTTATCATTTATTTTAGGAACATGATACTTTAATTTAACATCCTAATGCCCTCATGAGATGTTTATATCAATGCTATCTAATTTTTTTTTTTAAAATGATTAATGATATCTAATTTTTATAAATTATCACTGGGAGTTATTTAATAAAAAAATTATTAAATAGGTAAAATAAAATTTATATTTATCTAGAAAAATATTATATAAATTTTTATTCAATTTAATCCTTTTATTTTTAAAATATTCATTTTGATTTTATTATTTCAAAAAAAAATTAATTTGACTTTCTAATTTTTAAAACTGTTCAATTTTATCCTTTTTCATCTAATTTCTTTAATGTTATTAGTGTCAATTCGGATAGAAGGACAATATTAAATATTTTTTTAAAATTAAAAGACTAAATTAAACCTTTTAAAATAGTGAGATTTAATTAAAACCTATTATGAAAAAAAAAACATAAAATAAAGGACCTTTGAGATAATTAAGTTAATTTTATGAGCTTTTTTCTTTCTTATTTTATTTCAAAGATCAAGATTTAATATCACATTTTTTTAAGAAGTTTTAATAATGTAACTTTTAAATTAAAATTGTTAAATTATCAAAACATCATGAAATTTTTAGACTCTTAATTTTAAGGGGTTTTTTTTTTCCTTTGATTTGATCACTTTTGAAAGAATTTTTATTTTTAAGTTTAGAGTAATAATAAATTTAAACATTTAAAAATGTCAAAATTTATCTTATTGATCAATGATATTTTTCACATTCCAATTTTATTACCTTATCTTCACATCTCACCTTTTATGGTTAAAATAAAAGACGCAGGAAAAGAAAGAAAGGGAAAGAAAAAAAAATTAAACATTTTAGTTAAACACCTTTTATGGTAAGTCATATATTTAATGCTATAAACCCTAAACATAATCAAAATGTGAAACATACATAGAATTACGCAGTGTCATTATTAAATTTTTAAAAAACTACGATATAGTACCATAAATTCATATGAGAATATATATTAAAAATGGGATTCTGTTTGATTTAAATAATAGAAACTAAAAATCGAACGAAAGTACAATATAAATTTTGTTTAGTTTTAAATTTGATTAATTTTCAATTTTTAAAATTAATTTAGAAATTTAAAATAGTTTGATTTGGTGTTTACGCACCCTTACTATCTCTGACTTCTCTTTTACGGTAAAAGAGAGTCGATGCAGGTATAAACTATATATAAAGTAGGAAAAAGGGTATGAAAGAAGCACTTTTTGGCATCATATATCATGGGAATCGATTGGTAGTTGTTTCAGATTTAGAATAATAATTTCTAATGTTATATCAAATGGAGCTTATACAATGCCTGTCACGTGAATTCTTGAATTAAAAGTTATAGTCAAAAATAGAGATAAAGATGAATATGGCTTTCTTTTCTTTTCGTAGACATTACATATGTGATATGTGAAGTTTAATTTGGCAGTATTGTGTAACATCAAATTATTATTATTATTATTTCCGAAGATGATTGTGTTCCAAACACAAGGGTTTGATGGGACTGTCCATACCAATGGCATGTGAAGCTTCCATCGTCGGCAGGCATATATCAAGTGTGCATGTTTAGGTCATAATCTCTGTCAATCAAAAAAATAGACCAACATATATATGAATTCACATCCGATGTACTGTTTCTCTTAAATTATGTACTAATGCTCTATTTATATAAATTTTATGATACTTTTAATAATTCTTTTTTTTTTTCGTCACATCATTTTAGCTTTTTTTTTCCTTTCATTTTTATCTCTTCCTTAAACTCAAAATTGTTGTGACTTGTGAGTTGTGAGAGCTGATTAATATTAATTTCACCCTATTTTTAACATTCTCTCTATTGGTTAAAATTTAGTGAATCTCACCACTAAATTAAAAGAGTTACTTGTTAAATAAAACAAAAGACTAATAAACAATTATAATTCTTTATAAATTTTAATTAATAATAAATATTATTAAAAAAAATGTAGCAAACATTCCTGTTTCTCGTCATTATCTGTCATATGACTATGCCATTACACATTATTTACATCAATCATCCTTCTCACCAATATGCAAACACAACCTTTGAGTGTAACATTTTATGTAATAAGTTTTATTCATAATTGAGTAATTCTTAGTAAAATTTAATCAATAACTGAAAATGTATTTTAAAAAAAAAAAAAAAAGAACACATTAAAGAGTGTATTATTAACACTCGTTTTAGTGAGAGCTATGCCGTGTGATATCGTTCAAACCTGTTCCCGAGACTTCCTTTTCCCTATCCTAAGTTGTGTACCTCTTTTATCTGAGTTTGTGTACCAGAATTCCATTTCTCTCTATTCACTGTGCTTATGTATGTTGCATAATTCAGTCACCCACGCATATTGAGCATTTTCTCATAATTTCCCATGGATTTTTTTTTGTAATAGATACATCTGTGTTTTGCAGCTTCCATTTTATTTGGTTTGCCTCGTCACCTTCAAATTTTCAATATTACTATCACTATCATTGTTCAGTTCGTGCTTCATCAAAGTAATATAATGATAGATATAGTGTGTACATAATTGGAGATTTGGCAGGAAATATCTGAACATGCTAGAATGCCTTTGAGGTCCTCTCACATGAATGATTTGGGTTCGGATCAAATCCAACAACTAAGTTTACATCGTCTGTTGGGCCTTGAATCTTGATCCTTACAAGAGTACGTTTAATTTGGAACAAGAACTCAAAATGTTGAGATGATGTTCCATTAATTATAAGGAGAAAAAATAAATTTCATCCACCTAAAAAAAAGGTTAATGAAACAGATAAAAATAGAGTGTACCATCATAATCAACAACAACTAAGTACCCAAAAAACTGACATAATTAATGTATAAAAAAAAAATATTACATAGGTAAGACTAAAATTTTCTCGCAAAAATACGAATTGTACCGAGAACTATCCAGCTTGAAATCAAATTTTACATTGGATAATATTCGATATAAGCTTTCTATAATTCTAATGTGCTGTGATTAATAAGGGTATGTTTTGTAGAGGAGTTTATAAAGAGAAAAAGAAGTTTCAAATTAAAAGAGTTAATTTATCAAAATAAAGAAAATATATGAAATTAAGTTTAGAGGATAGTCTAACATAAGTATACACTTTACTATTTGTTGGAAATTATTTAAAAATATAAAATTATGAGTGATATTTTATATTATAATTATAGAATTATGACTGGTGAGGAGAAAATTTAAATTGGACGGCCTTAGAAATGGTTAGTATAATATTCTCTATGTGATCATGAAGCACTTAAAATCCCTTCTCCTAAGCCCGTGTGTGGAACATGGCATTGGAATTTAATGAGCAAAGAAGAAGTTCCAAATGGTCTAAGTAAACCTAACAACAATTAAACGATTATATATAGATAATAGCAAATTAAAAATATAAAATAGAGCTTCTATTCACTAGCTTTCATGAGATATTAAGCCTGGTAAGCAAGTGTATGGTAAGGATTGAACAAGTATCTTAGAATAGGGGATGCTAGACATGTGGCTGGCTTATACAACTTAATTAGCGAGCAATATATGAGTTTAGAGACAAATTAAGAGTAATAAATGATAATTAAGTTCTATTTTTTTATCATCTTATGTACATCTAGGCTTAGTCAATGATGAGGATTAACCCTACATAACCTTTGTTGGTGGGGTAAATCTAGAAAAGTTATATTACATTTTGTATGAATTATATATATTTACCTACTACTATCTTAATGCTAGCAAGTAGCACCAAACACACTTGGTGGTTCCATGAAATTAATGACAATGCACGTTTTTATATATGTGATATCTAAAAATGTTGTAGTTTATTACACATTAAAAAACATATGATTATTAAATAACATTTAATTTAATATATATATATATATATATAAACACTCCTCTCACTTGATATATCCTCATGATATATAGTAGACGTATCTAGTTATAATGAATCTTTTATACAAAATATATATATATATATATATATATATATAAATAAAATTCAAATTTCTCTTTTCATTCTCATGGCTACATATATTAAATAATTATTATTTCTTATTAATGGACATTTAGTATATAAGTCAATCTCACAATGAATCACTTATTTTTAAGCTCAAATCTGTAATTTAGGTCTTTGAGGACTAGCTAGCTTTTAAAGGAAACCCCATGTATACCAGCTCTAGCTGGAAATGCTTGATGCTACCTCTGATCCTCTCACAATTTTACAAATCATGATATTGTGTAAAGGCACCCGTTGTTAAAAGATGGGCTTTTCACCAGTGGGCCTTGAACGCATTTGAAAAAGTTCGTTTATTTTTGGGGAAATGTTTTAATTGAAAGAGATTCTCTCTTTTTCTGTTTTATTGGCCGGCCGAAACTAAAAGAATCTTTTTTTAAGGACAACGAAAAAAGTCTCTTTGTTTCTTTGATGAACCCTTGCTTTTGGTACATTATTGCTGGAATGTACTGCGAGTATATTAATATCTTAAAAATAGCCATGTATCCTAAATTATTTTAGGCTAAAAACCTATTTTAGTCTCTTATAATAATTGTTTGTTTCAATTTAGTCCTACTTTTATTTTTAGTCTTAATTTGATCTCTAATAAATTAATTGGTTGTAATGTAGGATTTCCGTCTAAATTATTTAAACGGAGTTAACTGTTGGCCACGTGGCATGCACGTGGATGCCACGTAGATGCATAGGTGGATGTCACATGGATGTCAAATTTTTTGAAAACACCTGGAACTAGAATGACCCGTTCTGAAACCAGAACGGGCCGTTCTGGGTGCACTCTTGGTGTGTTAATTTTTGCACCCGGAACGGCTTGTTTCAGGTGCAAAATTAACACACTAAAAGTGTAACCAGAACAGGTCGTTCTAGTTCCAGACTGCTACACACATATGGTTAATGATTATAGTTCACGGTTGTGAATCGTGGAAGGAAAAAGACCCAAGGTACAAAGCATTTCAAACACTGGATTTGGTAATATTATCAATAGAAATTGATAACTTCAATTGCTAAACAGTTGGACTATACAGTGTATCATTAAGGACAATGCAGTATATCACTAAAGACAATGGTAACAGATTTTATTTCATTGTTAGTCAAACTGGAGTGAACCACTTACTACCAAATTGACACTATACATTAAAGGATGAAATGACTTGGTATTTTTTCTTGAAGTCATTAACGATGTACCCCAATAACAACCTGTTCTTGAAGAGGTAGAACCTAAAGTAAAGGAAAAGGATACACATGACTAACATTTTACCACACAACCACATGTAGGGACGAATATTTTTTTTATATTTTATTTTATTGTTTAATTATTTTTTATTTTGTGGTAAAATTATCTTCATTTTTAGTGAAGAAAAAATTTACTTACTTCAAGATTAAGTCTTGATAGATTTATTTTACTTAATAATTAATGTTCTATATTAAATTTTTTAAAATTTAATTGTTAAATTAAAAAGCTTTTCATGTATAGATCAAATTTATAATTTTTTTTAAAAAATTAAAAATCATATGATACTTCGTTAAATTAATTCAAAATAACATATAAAATATTTTTGTTTTAAATGGATGTAAAAATTTAGAAGACACTAAAAGAAAACAAATTAATAATTTTATTATGTTTATCCTATTAATTTTTATCATTTTATTCCTCTAATTTTAAATAAGTTGCAAAAATTCTTAAGTGACACTTAAATATTTCTTCCAACAGAAAGAGAAAAAGGAAAAGTTATCACTCTATTTATAAGAAAATTGTATTTTATAAAAATAAGTAATTTTAAAATTTTTACGATAAAAAAATATTTTTCAACGTTCTGGTTTCAGAACGAGCCGTTCTTCTGTACTCGTGGTGTGTTAATTTTGCATCTGGAACTGCTCGTTTCAGATGCAAAATTAACATGCCAAGTGTACACCCAGAACGGCCCGTTCTGGTTCCAGGTGTTTTCATGATATTTGGCATCCACATGGCATCCACCTATGCATCTACGTGGCATCCACGTGGCCAACAGTTAACTCCGTTTAAATAATTTAGACGGAAGTCTCACATTGCAACCAATTAATTTATTAGGGACCAAATTGAGACAAAAAATAAAAGTGAGACTAAATTGAAACAAACAATTATTATAAGGGACCAAAATAGATTTTTAGCCATTATTTTATCAACCAATTAAAAAATTAACTTTTATGTGGTTTTAAATTGATTATCATAAAATTAATAAATTTTTCTTAATATAATAATATAAACTGAATTGAATTTTTTTGTCCTTAAAATCATATAATTGTATGAATTTTGCTTCCAATTTTTTGCGCGAGTTTTATCTTCAAATATATAAAAATATCACAAATTTTGTCCTTGTATACTTAAATTACCATAGCTAAGACAATTTTGTGACAATTGAATTCATGAGGCTGTGTATGTGTAACTCTCATGACACAAAGTGCAATTAAGCTAAAAAAATACAATTAAAAGTGTTTTACACTCTTATTACATGTATTATTTATTCCATGCTAATGCGAAGTTCAAATGATGATAGTTTCGTGGGTTGAGACGTGCAATCAATGTATGGTTTGTTACGTGTTTAAGTTTATATGATGCCACAGCCCACAAAGTACGAATGAATGAATGAGCGTACACCAATTCAATTATGCATAGATAGAGATGGTGAGTGGGGAACTCTGGACTTTAGCGGATATGAATATGAATCCTTTTTTTTTCCCTTTAAGCGACAATGCACGATCGATCTTCGACTTCTGACTCTTTTATCTTTCTTTTTGGCTTCCGTATGTTTAAATAGATTCAGCGTAACCATGAACTATATAATATACTTTGTTTCATGTGTTGGTACTCCTAACTAGTCCTACTCAGAAACAGGAATCTCCTCCACATGTAACCCAAATGGGATACACTTACTGGTTAAAGACTTAGTGCTTATTGTGACAACTTACAAGCTCTGGATTTTCCCATGTGCTTTGCCTCTTGTCTTTGGTACTAGTCGCCTGCTCACTTCATTTATAACCAGGTAAAAAAAATCATTCACTTGATCCCGTCACTGATTTTACTTTGCCATTTTCACTCATCCACATTGAAGCTCTAGTAGGACTTCCTTATCAATCCAAAGCTGGTAGCAAGTCTTGTTTTAAGCTTTAAAAACAAACTATAATAAATAATAATTCAATTTTTAAAGTTTTTACATAAATAAAATGCATGACTATTATAATTTTAAGATATAAATTTAATTGGAAAATACAGAAACAAACAAATTCAAGGACCACAAATCATTCTATATATACGTTTAGGAGTGACGTTATTTCCTCCGAAAATTGTAACCGAAATATCCTCCAAATACACAGTAAAATGTTTATTATATTCAAATTATTAACTGATATATCGGATCAGAATATATTTTGGACAATCCTTTGAGAGAATGTATCATTTTTCATCCGTTTAGTAGTAGATTTTGTTACCCAAGGTTAGACGGAATTTCTTGAGGTGATGGGCGGAGGAGACGAGAGATTTCTTCTCGCAACTATAATTAAAATTGCTGTCATAAATTTCCATACACTCAAGTCCTATTTTCTATATAAACAATCGCTTTCTCATTCTGTGTTTAACACTAATTTTATGAAAATCAATTCTGACCTCGAAAGACGTGAGATATGTGGTAGAAAGCAAAGTGCATGTGACATTATTCTTCTTAAAATGAACAGTATTTATGGCAAATGCGATTGCTTGTTGGCCAAAATGAAATAGAAAAAATATCCCGTGACATAAACAAGGTAAGGAAATGAGGCTATTTAACGCGAGATTCCCACCACGAGAGGATGTGATATGTTCCAAGTAGTAATTAGTGAAGTATTGTTTAACGTACATGATGAGTTGAGAGAAGACTTGCTGTCACTTGAGTTGAATAAGGTTACAACTTACAACTCAGTCCTTCCATTTCTCTCTGATGAATCAAAATCTAATAATGATTCAGAAGAATGGGGAAAAGTCGTCCAATTACTTTTGCACGCCCTAAACAAACAAAAAGCACCATCATTTTTTGCAGGACTCAGCAACGCCCAGCATTCTTAAAGCAACTATTGTTCATTTCATTTCAGCTTCACTATTAAAAGTATACACACCACTCTAACATTTTGGAAGGTCCCACAGCCCACTACAAAAACTAAGCCCCACTATAAAAGCGCTTACATCATGGTCCACTACCCCCACCCATTGGCCATTGACACAAAAAAAGAAGGGCATATCAATTCAACTTTTGACAATTTCTTCCTCTCTACTTGAAACTCGGCAAGACAAGAAAGATAGATAGGGGTCTGCTTGTATTTTCCAAGGCATTGACATCCAACCCTGTATGGACAAAAGCTGAAAGAAAGGCAAAAAAGGAAGAATTATGGCATCTGACTTTGATTGCAACTAGATGCTTGCCAATGACTTATTTATGGGGGTTTGGAACAGACAAATAGCGCGTGGGTCCCAGCAGTATTAGGTGAGCCCGTGGTGGAACCAATAATAGATTCTGCAACATGTGCCTGAGGCCTATGAAGGAGGATTAGTTTCAGGCTTCACTATACTTGAAGTGTCCGGTGGTTGTGACTGGTATATTGCCGAAGCCAGTGAGATGGGCATTATGCAGAGCGCCTTTGATTGAAGAAACTGCATGGCAGCACCAACATTTTCTTCCATGAGCTTAGCTACCTGTCGTTCTGTTCCATCATTTGACCACTTGTCCCAAGCTGGTCGGTTTCTCGCACCTTCACCACCTTCTTCCTGATCATCACTGAATTTGTTAAATCACTTGAAGAGATCAAAATGAAGTTCTTTTAACAAATATTTCTTCACAATAATCACCTCAACTGACGATAATGGGATGTCAGTTACAAGTGGTGCCACTGCACCAGCTCCACCCAATCTACTCATGCTCAAAACCTGAAAGGCAGAAGATTTATGTCATTGGAAGTCATTTGCACTCATAATTTCACACTGATATAAATCCAAATCTGGCCACAGAGAAAAAGCCTTTTGCTTTTATATTGATATCATGGTTCAAACAGCAATCTGTATTCTGACAGAAAACCCTTAAAAACTATTGGATGGTTAAAAGTAACTACAATGCATTAAGCAGCCAGAAAATGCTACCATTTGACTGTATCTAGACATTCCCAAGTCTTCAGGAATAAACTAATCGACCAATAGGTTCTAATCCAAAGTGACAAGTGGCGACCACCATTTTGTATATTCAAGATCACAATTTGAAGCTTAGGTAATTGACCTCAGTGGGATGAGGATAAAAATGAAAATTTTAACAGATTTAATAAGCAACACCCACAAAATTATGAAAGGTAATTATAAATTTTCATTAATTACAAATTAATGCCTAACTAGGAAAATAAAAGCAGGACCACTGAGGAGCACAATATTTTACCTTCACTTGAAGCCTTAAGAACTTGACATAATCCACAATTTCATCTAACATGGCAGCTCTATCCGTCTGAACATAGTAGAAATGCACCATGATGTTAGAAAGAATTTAATAGTTCAGTATTGCTATCTTTTCCCACAAACACTAAGCAGCCATGCAGCAAAACAAAGCTATCATACATATCATACAAAACATAAAACCCCTTGAAATCCAGTACACCTATTTGATACTTTAAGCATTCTTAAAATTTGGATTTTAATGCATGCCAGATCAGGATATACGCAGATGTTATTCCACTTTTTTACTCCTTTCATCAGAAGCAAGTTATCCTGGATTAATAATCCTCCCATTCGACAATAATGCCTACGTCAAAATTCCTAAAATGAAAGGGGGACAAATTGCAAAGGGTTAAGGGGACAAAACTTGTACAAAATTGTTTCAGCTTTAACAAACTCATTACTTTAACTAGACCATGTAAAAAACAAAAAAGCTACTTGATAAGCCAGAAGTGGTCGAATTTATGAATTGAAAGCAATTTTTCCATGAAAAGAACAACCTATTTTGTGAAACTTAAATTCGTAATAAAGTTAAAAAAATAATGACATCTGCTTTATTTTGTGTCTGTTTATTGTAAAAGGTAGACAAGGTGTACGAAATTCAACAGTGTAAATGGAGATGGTGAAGTGCTAAACAAGTATGTGATGAACAATATCCCTGAAGAAAGAAGACAGATCAGTCACATGCATGCCTTGAAAAAGTCACTTTTAGTAATGTTTTTGCTTTTTGCAATAATTGTGGAGTAATATCATTTTTGTTCACGAGAAATTTATCTACTGAAACACAAATGATCATTAATTGTGTTATTATCATGTCAACAGGCTGAAAACTAAAGGGAATGGTAATAAATACACATCTTCTGTAAATGTCAACTTGGTACTCTTTTCTTTTCTAACAAGTCATACCATAAATCCTAACTTCTCTAAAGACGATTTCTCTAGCTAAAAGACAAATGTAAGACCAAAATTAATAATAAAATGCAAAAGAAATCACATACCTTGTTGACACTAGGAACCAGTTCTTGCAATGCCCTGATTCTTTCTGCTATTCTTTCCCTGCGTAACTGCAATCCAACGGTAACATGGAAGACAAAATGAGCTACAGACTTAACCCCGTTTTAAAGGTCAAATATCATAACCAGCAAACAAACAGTCTGTATCCAAGCAAATATCTTAAAACTCACCCGTTCAGCTATGCTGTGTGGATCCGTAGCCTGCCCTCTTCTTGCCCGCACCCTAGGACGTATTGTGGGAGGATGTGGAGCAGAAGGCATACTAGTAGGCATGGGTTGCCCATGATAAACCTGCAATAGGGTTATGAATTATCAAAAGTAGAACAAATGCTGAACACTCCCCCTCTCCCTCCCAAAGGCAGAAAAACCCAGTAAGAATAAAAACAGCGTGACAACAGAAAACAATTTGTTAAAGGATTACTCAAAGTCAAGTATAGATATCCTGCATGATTTAAGAGGTTCAAAGATCATGGACAGTAACCACAACTGTCGACCCAAACGCATAAACAACCTAACTCACTAAATCACAAACCCGAAATATTCAAACCAATCAACGATAAGTATAACACTCCCAACAGTTCACTAAGCACAGTCCAGATCTAATCCTTATGCATAATTCATTCATCGCAAACCTATGCCTCATGTCAATTTACAAAGTTTGTAATCCAACTCACCCCCAAAGCCCCGCATAACAGTCCACACACTCCAAGTGCACAATTTCAGCGAGACATATTATTGATGTCTATAGCAAGTTGACTAGGATCAACAACCACACACGACTAAAATATCCATCCATATGAAACATGACGAATCTCATATTATAAATACTTTAATTTCAAATAAATCACCATTCAACTGCTTGTGAGCTTCTTAGGACCCCCAATTTTTCTTTTTCCTTATAAAATATATATAATCTTTAAAAAAATATTATATTATATAAATAATTTGAAGCATGTGTATTTAATTAGTTTGGCCACCTCAAAATATTTTGGGAAGATCCGCCACCGTGCTAGGTGTTGTGTTCATTAACCTTGGAAACGTTTCGTTTTGCTATATGTAAACGAAATGGTGGTAATTTGAACCAAGCAAAATGTAGTGGTGTTGTTTTTATTTTTGGTTTTGTCTTAACGTTTTCTGAAGCATCGAAAAAGAGTAAAGTAATTGTAAGCACATAAAACCTCTTCCTGAAGAAAAAGGTCTCAAGTTAAACCAAAACAGTTGAAGCAAAACACAAAGCTGAGGGTTAGAATCGAAGATCATATGGAAAAGAGGAAAGAAAAGGAGAATCGAAAAAGAAGTGGTTGCCTTACATTCTTAGCTCTAGCATCAACGACGTCGTCGCGAAAGCGCTTTCCGCTGGCGGAGGCTTCCTCGGGCTTCATGAACGCTCCTTTGCCTTGGTCCAGGCTCAACCCTAGCTGGTACACCGGCGCGTGGAAGGCGGCGCCGGCGAGGTGAGCGTTGGCGTCGGCGGAGTTGAGCTGGAGCATCATGGGAGGCGCGGCGGCGAGGGCGACATCGGCGGCGGCCAAGGCGGAGTCGGCGGAGGCGAAGGTGGGGAGGCCGAGGATTTGCTCGAGGAAGTCGTCGGCGGGAGCGTCGGAAGGGTTATTCGCCATGAGGTTGGACTCGGGCGAGTGAAGGGTGAGTTGCGAGAGCGAGTTGCGAAGGAAGAATCTACATGAAGAGGAAAGTGGATTTTTGAGGGTTTGGTTTGGTTTGTTTGCACCTTGCTCACTCGCACGTGTGCCTTTATCCTGCGTACAAACAACTTCCTTTTTTTTCTTAAAGGGTCTCTCCATTTTTGGTATTTACACCCAGGTCCACTCCTCTTTTCTTTCTCTCCTTTCCCATGTTTTTTTGTTCCTATTAACAACAACTACGTTTCTTTCCATTTTCTCTCTGTTACCTGAATTTATTTCTTATGGACCAAATTGCGTATTTCTTAAGGATTTTTATAAGATAATGATAAAGATTTTACTAAATTGCTGAAAAAGTGGTGAATATTGAGGTAAAAGAATAACAAAATATTAGAATTAAAAAAAATATTAATACAAAGAAAAAAATTTAGATCATAAGTTTACATTATAACTTTGTATTAACCTAATATTTTTAACTTGATAGATAGATAGTTAGCCTCCCAAAATAGACGAAAAAGGATGGTATGATCAACCCACCAATCCATCACAATTCACTTCATTAGCCTGGTGGACAAGGTGAGTTAGTTCGTCGAACCATTTTTTCTACTTTTAATATATGAAATGTGTAACACATTTGAAACTTGAGTATTATGTATTAATGAACAGTCAACCATTATTAATAAAATGTTTATTACACACCTAAAAGTTGGTATAATATTAAGAAAGAAAACCTTGCATATAATAGATTATAAGTTTTTGAAAATTTAAAATAGTTATTTTTTTAAAATAATGAGATAATATTTTTTTTTCTTAGACTAAGTGCAATAGGTTTTTAATATGTTTTAATCTATTTAACTAATTTTGCTAATTTTGATTAGTATAAAAATGAAAAAAATTTGAATTTTCTTTTTATAGCCCACCTTTAAGCAAAATAAAATGGGATTTTCAACTTACTATCATTAGGTGAGTCAATTCGACTTATCTCAAATTTTAGCAAGTTAATTATATAATCAAGACTGTCAAAATGGGTCGACTTGGCCAATTTGACTTGACCTACAACCCATTTTTTAAGTTGGCTAACTTGACTCAACTTACTTTTAAAAATGTTAAAACTTTTCCGGCCTAACTCAACCCATCATGGGTTAGTGATCTAAAGGAGTCGGTCCATCAACTCATTTAATTAAGAAAAAACTTTAATGTAAAATAACCTCTATTTTAAAAATAAAAATTGTCAAATTAAATATCATACATACAACATTAAATTTAATTTTAAAAGTGTATAACTTCAAATAATCAAAATAAAAAGATAAAAAAAAGTATTATCATTAAAGTGATTGTCCATCGATCTTAAATTTCATTAGAAACTTGAATAGATAAATTTATAACAATTTTATTTTATTTAACACCAACTTTATTTTTATTTATAAAAAATTCCTATTAAAATAATACAAATATAATAACAACCGATGAATTTAGTTAATAAAGGGTGTAAGTAGGTTAAATGAATAATCCTGTCCACGAATTCAACCTGAATGAGTTGGATTGAAACTTGAAAGGGGAGACAGGTTAAATTTTATGACTTAGTATAAATATATATTTTTTTCTCGATTTAACACCATAATCCACTTTAACAGTTTTTGACAAAGCCAGCAAAATGAAGCGGACAGGATAAAAACGGGTAGCCCAACCCTCTTCACCACCTTTACATACGGTGGGCTAGTTTTTTTTTTTTTTTTAATTGACAAAATAAATGATTGTTTACTCCTTTTTCTAATTGATCCTACTTTTTTTTTTTAATAATTCGAATGGTATTAGCTTTTAATGCTACAATTTTTTTACGAGACTGGTATTACAAATATTTTTCATTAAAAACCTCCTATTTCATATTCATAATTATTTTTTTTTGCAAGAATATTTATGTTAAAATTGGTTATTTACCTAGTTTAAAAAAAACTTGATAATATTACATTAAAAAATGAGCTTAATAGACACGTGATATCTATAAAAAAAACCTGTACTCCGTAAATGAATCAAACATTGTTTTTCGTATTTTTTTTAAGATGTGTTATAAAATTATAAGGCAACAGATTCTGTATACAATGGTTTATAAATTTTGTAATTTGTTATTAATGTAAAATATTATCAACTTTATTATTAAAAAATTTGACTTGTTACTTATACCGGAGTATTTCTTTTCAATCTTTTATATATATATATATATATATATATATATATATATATATAACATAATTTATATATTTTATATATAAAAGATGCAAAGTTAAAAGAAGATCGATAATTTATGATTTAGTGATTATACAAAATAAGAATATAAAAAATTTATTGTTATGAAAAACAATATAAGAATATATTATTTATTTTAAAATACATTAAAAATAAGAATTTAATTAAAATACGTAAACAATATAAAGAATTTTGTATTCATATGAACCATCAAGTGACATGTATAATAAAATCATTAATGTCATCATAACTATTCTAAAATTCATGCCTAAAATATTTTTCAATTAATTAATAATATAACTTAAAAAAAGTTTAATTGAGAGAATTCTTATCCAGCATTAATTAAGTTAAATAAAATATTTTTTTTATAATAACAAGAACAAGATTTCAACATTAAATTTTATAGAAATTATTTAAATTTTTCGTCACTAAGACAATGTTAACGAGTAAATAAAAGGGATCGACATTTTACAAATGTCAATTTATGATTGAAATTCTATGAAAATAATAGTTTATATTTTATTTCTAACCATAAATCGAGTAAACTTACTTTGATAGAAAATAAAATAAAAAATATTAGTGTTTTACATCTATTGATCAAGGGCTTTTTGACCAAACGGGGGTCGTTGACCAACTTATTTACGTAAATGGGGCTCTTTTGAAAGTATTTACGCCTTTGGGGCTGTTTATAACGGTGTCACTATGGGTCATAGCGACACCCATGCCACGTGGCAATTTTTTTTTTGGCCCACAATGGGCTGGACTGAGCCACATCAGTGTCGCTATGGGCTGGACCACCATAGTTGATGGACCAACAGAAATGATGTAGCCCATAGCGACACCATGTAAGAAAAAAAAGAAAAAACAAAAATAATTTATATGTAACTTAAAAATAATAAACTGAGTTATTTATTATATATTTATAAAAATAAAAATAAGTTGTTAAAAAACGTAATTTTAAAATATGTATTTTAATTATTTATAAGAGTGGCGCTATGGCCTATAGCGACACTGTGTCGCTATAGGCCATAGCGCCACTAATTTATTTGTTTTTTTTTAAATTAATAACTTATTTAGTTTTATAATTTGTTTATTCTATATTAGCAGTTAAATATTTATTTGTAATTATAAACTTATTTTTTCTCTAATTTCTTTTGTTTTCTATATAAATTTTTTTCCTTTAAATTATTTTATCACGAATTAAAAAATGTATTTAATTATTTATCTAAGTGGCACTGTGGCCTATAGCGACACTGTGTCGCTATAGGCCATAACGCCACTAATTTATTTGTTTTTTTTTAATTATTAACTTATTTTGTTTTAAAATTTGTTTATTTTATATTTTTTCTCTAATTTCTTTTATTTTCTATATAATTTTTTTTCCTTTAAATTATTTTATCACGAATTAAAAAATGTATTTAATTATTTAAAAGTGGCGTTATGGCCTATAGCGACACTGTGTCGCTATGGCCCATAGCGTCACTAATTTTATTTATTTATTTTTAAATTATTAACTTATTTTGTTTTAAAATTTGTTTATTTTATATTAGCAGTTAAATAATAATGTGTAATTAAAAAGTTATTTTTTCTCTAATTTCTTTTGTTTTCTATATATATTTTTGTCCTTTAAATTATTTTACCACGAATTAAAAAGTATTTAATTATTTAAAAGTGGCGCTATGGCCTATAGCGACACTGTGTCGCTATGGCCCATAGCGACAATATCAATATATATACCCCCTCCTAGCTACGGTTTTTTCGCAGTTCAAATCATATATTTATCAGTTACGTTTTGGTCTGATTTAAAATTCTGAGCCAGTTACGTTTCTTTCTGATTCGGTGAGTATAATTTTGTTTTTGTTAAGATATAAATTGTAGCTATTTGCACTAATTAATTTTTTTTGTTGCAGATATTATGGATCAAATGATTGCTTATATTTACACTGGAAAGATGTATGAAGGTGCTGAAGGTGTAACATTTGATGGACCAAGAAAAGGAATGTATATTAAACGAGGTATCACTTTGGATATATTAAAGAGAAGGATTCACAACAAATTTAGTCTTAACTCAAATCAAGTGATATTATCTGTAAGTTACAGATTTTTAGTTTCACAAGGTGATAACAACATATATTCTTCATTGGAATTGAGTGACGATGATGATGTACAATGCATGATAGAAGCATTTCAGAGCCAGAATGTGATGCCAATAATGGAATTATATGCTGAAATAGGTATGCAAGAATCTTCTACTTTTTCATTAGAAAATTTGTCAATTGAACGATCACCTTTG